ATAGCAAACCTTTTTTGTAACGATTGTGACCATTGAGTACTAATTCTGATGTGATGGACACAAAACTAGTCCAGAAGTCATCGTTTGCCGTCAAATAAAACATTTTAAGTGAACGCAAGTGATCCTTAAGGCCCTCTTCGTTCATCACATATTTCCAGTTTTGCTGTCATTCAAAAGCAAACAAACATTTCAAATGATTGCTCATAAATATTATACAATAGACTCACTTCGGAAACAATACTTCTAACGGATTCAATGAATTGTTGGAAAGATCTGCCATCGACTGGAACTTTGGCCGTCATTTCATTGTATGTTTTAAACAATTCGTTTTCTTTGTTATTGAATACGAAGTCAACTGATAATCAAATAAAAGGTGAGAATATATTTCATTTGCAATAATTTGCGATTTGGTATTACGTCCGCGACTTTTAGCCAAACGAACGTTTTCTCCGATTTGTTGTATTTTTAAGGCATCGTTAGGACTCATAAACGCCGGAACTCTTTTCATGTCAACAGTTGTCTTATTTTTCTCCTCTTTTATAAAGAAATTATTGTTTGATTTTTTGCTTAAGAATCCAAACATAATCCACGACCAGATGTCTGAATACAGACTTTCACTGCTTTTAAATACTCTGCGCAAAGATTTGAGACAAAATGAAGTTATTTTAAAGCAATGCTAAACTTAAATGGGATTACATTTTAGCGCAGTTTTGGATTGAAGTGAAACCCGAGAGCGAACTCTCATTCAGTGAGTCTAGTGTTGCGGCAAAAGAGTCCTTTAAAATGAGTGATTCATTAATTGTAACATTTTTCATAAATTGAGGCCAAATTGTAATTTTTACCGGATTTTCATTAAACTGTGTAATTATTTGATTCAAGAAATCAAACGTTTGGTAATACTATTGAAAATGAATGAATGATTTTGAGCGCAAAATTGATGGCATAATTGTATTGAGTATTACTTTCAAAAACTTATTGAATTTAATGATAGAGTAGTCGGGGTTTCGGTGAATATCGATCTCCACTTCAATCAAAGCATTTCTGTAATCAATAACCGATTTATCCATACTTTGAGCCAATCGTCGATTGTATGGATTCAAGTCTTAAGCAATCATTTCATAG